GATTCGTCAGTTAGTATTTTCAATATTAGTCATATCAGTCTCTGGAGAATTAGGAATAATAAAACAGTGCCTAGAACTAAGCAAGGTGAGCGAAAACGGTCAGCAAACAACCAAGGCAGCGATTTCATTCGTCGGACACTGAAAAAGTACCATTATATGCCCCTTAAGGCTATTTACAGAGAACATCTGTCAATGTTTTCTTTGCGCATAATTAGAAAAACAATAAAAGATTTCGGTCTCCATCAGAAAAACGCCATGACAAGGTCATTCTTAAGTAGAAAACTTATTAGAGAAGGTTTTTTGTTTGCTCAGAAATATGTTGATCACAAGCTTTCCTTCTGGAAAAACATTTACTTTTGTGTTGAGGTCTTACTTCTAGACAAGCCTCCGAATTCGGCCCAGTTGGTCATATGTGAGAAGAACTTTCCGCCAGATCATACTATATCGACATAAGCAGTCAATAACTGTCGACATCTGATGGTTTGAATGGCCATCAAATTCGGAGAGCGACCGATCTGGCGTTCAACGGCGGAGACGATAAATAGCAGGGTGTTAATCAGCATCTTAAAGGATGCCTTCGGTTACAACGGCATTTATCGACAGGACAATGCCCCTGTCCACCGCTCAACTTACGACTATAATCTAATATTTTAGACCACAGTCAGCCTCTCCGCCTGCGGCCTTCGAAGCATTTTATCCCCGCCAACAACACGGACCTAAATCCTATGGAAAATCTTTTTGCACTAATCAAAAGAAATTGGGAAAAAGCAAGAAAACATCTTCCTATGGAGCAAAAGTTGGAACTTTTGCTTACTGATTACATAGACCAAACCACCTTGGACAACTTGGTAGTGCGCATGCCCTCTTGCTTTACGGCAACTTTGAAAGCTAAAAGACAATCGACAAAGTATTAGCACGTTGTATTTGTTTCTGTTTTTATTTTTTGTCGTTTTGTGAAATTTCCCTTCTCCGCTGACAGTTATATTAGGTTTTGAATAGTTGAAATATCATAGAGTCGCTTATTGCTTGGTAGTTTTTGATAAAATAAGTTATTTCTTATTCAATGAATAATACTTTTTAAATCAAACTGTGCCTTATTTTGAAACCCCGTTGTATCTTTAACGCAGTATAACTTTCGTGGATGCAGGGTGGGCTTTTCGTGCGCCACAGAGATTTAAGTTCGCAGTTTGTGACCTTTTATCAGATGGGTCACGAACTTTACATACCAGAGCACACTGAAGAAAGCTCATTGCAACAGTACCGCGTATTGCATGGCGCCGACGCAAGGAGCAGTAATGTTTGCGTCCGCGTCCTTGTAAGTGATCGACTGCGGCTCTTATTATACAAAGAGGGGTAATGTCGACGGTCTCATGAATCTAGCCGCAGCGGCTGGCCGCGTTTCTCAAAGCGATCTGATTTGGACAGCAGCCATTTCTGAGACGCCCTCAAACTGAAGGGAACTCGACAAAATGTGCGTCCGAAAGCACCCGACCGCACCAAACGTAGCCGCAAGATCGATGAAATTATTGAAATGAGCGTCCGCTTCGTGGCTATTCGAACTTGTGTCCTGCGACCACAGTGGACTCTGCTGTAAAAGCGGCGGAGATCTCGAGCGCGTTTGGCTAAAAGCGACGCTAAGTGGGGGTTTTGAGTTCTGAAGATGAGTCAGTCTGCTAACCCGCCTACCTTAGTAATCAGAGAGAGCTAAGATACGATACATCGGTGGAGGAAGCATCTCGCCTGGCATTTGAATGCACCGAATGTGGGCGAAACCCAACTTCGCACATTTTAGTTTTAATCCCTCGTCAAAAATAATCTGCGCACTAAGTGCATTAGAAGCTAAAAAATGAAGGGATTTTACACAAACTTTCATATTCTATTAGTTAACTGTACTCCGGTTTTTAATTGACTGTTAAACCCACTGCTGTTACTCCCCCCACATACCCAGCGATGATTTTCATGGATTTTAGTGTCATCTTCTGATTTCGACCCCAACAACGGTAGGGTGGAGGACCCTAATTAGCTGTGAATCGTCTACACAAGAGTGGTGTTAATGGGTAGGGTTTACAGGCGAGGCAGAACACTGGACAGTAAGCTGACGGAATACAGAAAAACATAGAAAATGGTCAAGGGCAAAAAATGACATTGTCGCGCTCGATGATGAGTGTATGCAGATAAGGTATCCATTTAGATTTTCCATGGTGTTCTATCTTGGAAGGCTGCCTGAACGTTAAACAACTGAGTCTATCCCGTGGGAGAAATTTCCATGCTCGTTTTATCTGCCTTTTTAGTTTCTCCGCTCTTAGATGTACAGTAGGTGGGCTAACTCATGAGATGACGACAGAAATTCCGAAATACTTTTTCGTTTCGAAAAGAATGATTAAGTAGGGTTGTAAGACTAATCGTAATACAGTATAATTCTATAATAATTTAGTTACCTCAGGAAGCCAGCTTTCGAAAGAATTTATTTCCAGCTGCATGCAAATCCATACTCTTTAAAAATAGCTACATCAGTAGTATGCACTTTGCTCGTTGATTCTCGATGCTCTTAAATATTCATCTATATTGCATAGAAAACATGCATAAAAATAATCAATCCTTTGCCCATTCCGTAGAAAATTACATCTCCTTTTGAATTTACACCGAAGGCAGGGTATAATTTTGTTTTACAAAGTTTCTGACTGTGAGGTTTTCCATACCGTGAAATGGCCGTTCATAAAATGTCATGTCTCTGCATCTACCAATGTGGCTTGTAAAGATGACAATATGGCTCAAATCCACTGCTAAATTGTGCGAACCCCATATAATCTACTTTTAACACTGTAGAGAAGTGAATGGTTTTTCGTACGCGGAAAATATACGGCTTGTAGTTTGGAGACCTTGGATGCAAGTGTAACGGCAGGTCGGCGCCCAAATTTATTTAGGAATTGGAAAAGTCCTTAAAAACCAAATTGCACCCTCCCTTTGAGTATAAAATTGGACGAAGACGTCATTTCCTACCACACGAGTAAGAGAATGACTATTTTTATGCATGATTCCACGAAATGAAATTGAATTTCCCGGGCATCAAAAATCCTTGATAAAAATGCATGCTACTGAAGTAGTTATTTTTTACAGAGTACGGTTCTTGCATGCAGCTGGGAAGAAGTTTGTTCTAAAGCCGGACTCCTGGGGTAGCCGAATTATTGTAGGATTATGTCCCACGATGATTGGTTTTACAACCAAACTTAATTGATCTTTTCGAAACGAGAACGCATTACGAATTATGGTTGACATTTAATGAGTAGGCCCACCTACTGTTACTGGCAGTCATCTGTACTTAACTTGATTTCGCAAGTACACACATCAGCACACGGTCCACAGTCTACCGACAGTTAATTAACGTCCTTTATCCTACTTTCGCCCTGACATCCCCAAGCGATCTGTTGGCGATCATGGCGGATTCCTCTGTTTTCACCATTTGTTAGTGGTGTGGCCAGTCAGCAAAGAAGTGTTGTGGTCGCATCTCCACGCGATTCGACGATCCTCGAAGCCTTTAATGTGCCCTCCTCGCTTGGACTCAAATCGGACTCTGACCGATCGCAGCGGGTTTCTTTTGTCTCACAGCCGCCTCTGCCGTCTTACCCGAAAATATTAGGATCGCGTCTGCAGCGAATAACCTCATCCGGCTTAGGAATTCTTCCTTAACGGAGAACGTTTTGAACCCTTATATGATATAACCCGCAGCGCGGTCCTGTCCACTAGCATATTTGCCTTCCCATGAGCGACAGAGTTTCTCCTTAAAAACCAATCATATCATCTCCATTTTTTCTTTTTAATCAAACTTGAAAGAGTTTTTCCTTGTTCGATAACCTTTTTTCGTGTCGAACTGCGTATTTTATGAACAAAAACTGAACACTATGGAGTGTCTGCCTACTCGTTCCAAAATTCACCCGAAAATATATCTACACTTACCATGAAAGTACCGCTAATGTTGCCAAATAAAAGAATTTATCCTTTCTATTACTGCGAGTTGCACGCAGATCAGACCGAAACGTTTTAGCGACTTGAGAAGCTGCCCAAAATAAAACAAGAATGACTGAGGTTTGCCCAAAACCAGTCAGGCAAGAAAGAATTAACAATGGACGCTGAAACAGTTGTTTTCTTACTTCTTCACCCCACTCCCCCGCTCCCCATCGAGCGTCTCCACCATAAAAGCCACTCCGGTCTGCTGGGTTCGCTCTCTCAACCGTAAAGGGACTACTTAAGCCCTCTCGAGTTGGGTAATTGGCCTGAATTTGTTTACAACATGATCCAACTGACTGACTGAATTTGCGTCCAGCAGACCGTAGAAACTGTCTCGGTCCTTCAGCATCTACCAGGAAACAACGGCAGATCTAAATGACTTGAAACCACTGTGCATGCATGTGTATTGGTTAGTATATGAAACATTTCTGTCCCAAACGGGCCACGTGTTACATGCGCTGGACCAACACGGGAGCCACATCGGATTCTGGCAGGCGTTATCTGTGCGCAATAACAAATGCCAACATATAGGGGGTGCGTTGGCAAACCCTTTTGTCGACAGTTTTCGCAGAACTGGGATCACTGTCACGCCCTCCATTGTTGTGGCGGTCAAAATTCTGGTCATTTTTTGTGTGGACCAGGGGGTGCGGAGTGGAGCGCCAAGGCCAGGATCCGTCCAAGCCATCCACCTGCGGTCTCCCTCGTATCCGGTCTTCTTGACTCTGTCTTGACACCGGGCTCAGGCGGGGGAGGAGGAAAGAGTGTAGGTAGATGCTACGCAAGTCTGCTGGCACTATACACCCCTGCGCAAGTCACCGTCCCTGCCCCCACCACCTGCTGTGGGGCACACTGTGGACATAGTCGAAATCGACGGTTGAACTATCGTGTTTATGAAACATTTGGCAGTCTCGGACATTCGGCACTGGAGAATCCGTCTTCGTGACAGCCTTCGAAGCCATGGCATTTAGGGGGCACCGTGGCAACTTAAAAGCTCGTCAGACTGTACGGAGTGAGAAAATGTGTTGAAGTGCCGTGGGGAGAACAAACTCCCCAGAGTTGACCTCATTCTCGTTCCGCTCCTCCTCCTCTTCCTCCTCCTCCTCCTCCTCCTCCTCCTCCTCCTCCTCCTCGTCCTCCTCCTGCTCCTCTAGGTATCAGTCCGCTGTCCGAACCGGTCAACCATCAAGTGCGGGATTAGGTACGCCTGGCTAGAGCGGTGTGAGTCTGCGTCTAAGCGTGCCACAAAACTGCCCGTCCGTGGCAATTTTTGTTAGGGGGTCTGAAACGCAAATAACGCGTTTTGAACCTTGATGTGACCCGGCGCCAGTCTACTGAATCCTTCGCATGGCCCGTTTAAGGGACACCAGCCCGTTTGCTCTCGCTGATTAAGAATTATTCGCTAATGTGTGCGTGACAGAATCTTCCCTTAATCTGGAACTGGTGTCGTGTAAGTTTTACAGTAATTGGCTTCCTAGTAAGTAGTAACCATCTAAATCTACTGCGTCATAACATGCTTATACAGTGCGTGGGACAACTCATAAAATGTCAATCGAAATTTCAAAGTGCGCTTTCGTTCCAAAAAGAGTAATTCAATAAGGTTGTAAGACTAATCATCATTCGGCATAATTATATAATAATTCAGCTGCCCCATGATGCTGACTTTTTAATGAGCTTACATCTGGCCGTCCCTTTAAACTGCCGTCTGCAAGAAATGACTACATAAGTAGCATGCATTTTTCTAACTGATTTTTGATGCCTTTAAACAATTTATTATATTTCCCAGAAAACATACATAAAATATTAAATCCTTTGCTCATACGGTAGAAGAATACGCCTTCTTCCGATGTGATACTCGAAGAAAGGATATAGTTCGGTTTTAACGAAGTTTCCAATTAAGAGATATTTTAATGCCATGAAATGCCCCTTCGTAAAGTAACGTGTCTCTTCATTTACCAATGTTGCTAGTAAAGCTTACAACATGGCTTAAATCCACTGCAAAATTTTATGAACCCCATATAGTCTCCGCTTAATACCGTAGAGAAACGCATGGTTTCCGCACACAAAAAATATACAGCTTGTATGTTGGAAACCCTAAATGCAAGTGTAGCAGCAGGTGGAGATCAAAATTATTCGGGAATTAGAAAAGTTTTTGAAAACCGAATTATACCCTACCTTTGAGTATAAAATTGAAAGAAGGCGCAATTTTCTATCGGATGCGCAAACGAATGAATATTTTAATGCATGCTTTCTATGTAATCTAATGGATTGTTTAAGGACATCGAAAATCAATAAGGAAAATTCACGCTAAATAAGTAGTCATTTTTACAGACTGCAGTTTGAGGAGGCGGCCTGATATAAGTTCGTATGAAAGCCGGCGTCCTGAGACAACTGAACTATTATAGAATTATTCTGCATGATGACTAGTTTTACAACTTGATTTAATTAATCTTTATGAAACGAAAACGCATTTCGGAATTTCGATTGACATTTCATGAGTTAGCCCCCACACTGCAGGACCTCATAAAATCCTGCAGTTCGTCTGTTTGTTTGCGACATTCCAACCGCCGTGACCGACGATGTCCACCGTGTGTTCCGCAGGGACGGTGTCTTGCGCCTGAATTACTTCTTAATTATGGTAGACTTGCGCGGCATCTACTTCACACTTTCCTCTCCCTCAACCTACGCCTAGAGTCAAAGCAGAATCAAGAAGACCGGAGCGGAAAAAGGTGCAGATGGTTGGCACGGTGAGTCGCCACATCCCCTGGTCCCTAACGCACACTGAACAGGATTATACGCAACAAGAGAATGGGAGAGTCGCTCGGATTCTCGTCGGCGCTGCATGAATCTGTACCTAGGTGTGCGCATCTCCACTAGCTCCTGCTTGACCTCGACCTAGCCTCTATTATGTTCCATTTCATCCACCGCGTGGCCCGTTTAGAGACATAATGTTGGTTTACAGGGTTACCATATAACCTGCTCAATGAATGCATAAATCAATAGCACCTCCCTGGGCTGAATTAAGGGACTCTGAACCTCGTGTACGCGTTGTGAGAAGGCAACATGCTGTCAGGATGAAAAATATTCGCCATTTTTATACTACTTACTGTCTGTTGGCCGCTCGTGAATGCTGCGCGATTAAAGCGCAGTGTCTGGTGAATTTCAGTTCGCATGTTTATAGGGACCATGTTTAAAAATCCTTGCTTTAATGGATCCATTCCAAGTTGGCGCATTGGTTTGCGACGACATTTTGAACGACAGTAAATAATGACTGTTAAAAAGCAAAAATTGGTCACCGGTTACCATTGACTTGACAGAACATAGAAATCCCTTTACTACGAACGTCCTGCTTTGTTTTGTGGGAAAGGTCGACGGCTGTTTGATCAAACTTTACTGGAATGCGGTATTATCTCTGGGTCGGACACACTCTCAAATCCCGTTCTCACGTAAAATGCATTGAGGACTATTTTGGCATACACTTCTCATACTATGCACCGCCTAGGTACAAAGTCTTCTGAAAATGGAGCCACCACGTGTATTCCTATGCAACACCAATCAGAATCCAGTAGAAAAAGTACTTATGCGAAGCGGAGCAGACGTAAAAGGCATGTATGCAGACGGGACAGGAGACTTGGAACCTTTGCCATCACCAACTCCGAGCTCAATGGAACTTACAATGAATAACCTATCTCATGAAATGTTGGCTGAAATTCTGAAATGTGTTTTCGATTAGGAAGGATTACATGGTCGCGGTTGTAAGACTGATTATCTTGCCGCATAATCCTTCAATATTTCGAACTCGACAGGATGTCCGCTTTTAAATACACTGTTTTTCAATCTCCTATAGAAACAGTACTCAGTAAAAAAAGACTACTTATGTAGCATGCATTTTTCCCATTGATTTTCGATGGTCTTGGAAATTCAAATATATTTTATAGAAACCATAAACAAAAATATGCTTTCTTTCAGTCAATGAATAGAGAATCATGTCATCTTTATATTTTATACTCAAGGAAGGAGTACAAGTAGGTATTTAAAAGTTTTCAAATCAGCGAATAATTTGGAGTCTGATTATTCATTGCATTAGCGCTTGCTGGTTTAAGTCTACAAGGTGCATGTGTTTTGCGTAGTCAAAATAACATATTTTTCTATGCTATTTTAAAGATATCATACAGAATCCATAATATTTTGCAATGGATGCGGACTATGTCGTACGTTTCACGAGGAGCCGTGGTAAACGGCAAAGGTACGATGCTATGTGAATGGACATTGCAAGGTCTTAAAAATCTCGTAATTAGAAACTTTTCAAAATCTAATTATACTCCTTTCTTGAGCATAAAAAATAAAGAAGACATGATTCTTTATTAATTGACTGAAAGGAAGCATAGCTTTATTTATGGTTTCTATGAGATATATTTGAGTTTACAAGACCATCGAAAATCGATGTGAAAGGTGCATGCTACATAAGTAATCATTTTTAACGAGTACTGTTTCTATAGGAGATTAAAAAATAGTGTATTTAAAAGCGGACATCCTACTGAGTCCAAAATATTATAGGATTATGCAGCCAAGATAATCGGTATTACAACCGCAACCAAGTGATCTTTCCTAATCGAAAACGCATTTCAGAATTTCAGCCAACATTTCATGAGATCGGCCATTCACTTCAAATTCGATTTCACTATCGCACAAACGTCAACCCCTTTGACCCTCTGCGGGCCAGCGATGAACTGTGGCGACTGAGTTGGTGATGGAACAAATAGGAATCAAATGCGGTTTTCACCCCGTCAGACATACTACTTAACGAGCATGCTGCCGGTCAATCGTTAACGTGCTTCAAGAGTCTACATCACTGCTCCGCTACCGTGTAGTCAAGAACTGGACGTCTGGACCAGGTCGAAACACTAGTGGGTGAGAAAAACTGCAATCCCCTAACCGCCAGATGGTTCAGCGTATTCGTCTGCTTTACAGCAAGCCACCTCCTAACTAAAATAAAATACAAACACATTTGGAGAGTTCGACTGTCATGATCCAGATTGAAAGATGCACAATTGCCTTCTGCAGTGAATGCCTTTGATGTAGCGCTCACAGCCCCCCCCCCCTCCCGAGCATGCAAGGCAGAATGCACGCAAGGCAATATCCCAGTCGCATGATTTCGATAGTAAGCAGCTGTTGTTATCAGAGGATGGAACAGGTAAATCTGAAAGGTCAGAGCCCACCTCGTAGCAAAACGTGCGCACGCCTGAGCGTTAGTCAGGTTTATCTCCACTCGTAATACTGCTCACAGCCTTTGTAGTTTCCCAACTCCTCATCTCACTAAAAAATCTATAAATTGTTGATTTCCGCGACAGTTAGACCATTGTTCGATGGGGCCGCACCGCCCTATCAACTTTTGGCTTCACAATCGACTCGGAATAAACCGCCGCGACCTAGCTTCTTTCGTCATCGCGTCCTCTGTATCCTCCCGCGCTTCATCTAATTAAACATGTCATAAAATGTCAAACTGAGTGCGATAATCTCACTCAAGCCCAAAAGTGGCCCGACATTGCAACAAGTAGGATTTTCGAGTTGCGTGGAAAGTCTGGTTGCATCCGCTGCATTGCATGCGCTGCCTGCCTGTGCAGTTACTCAGGCCAAATGGACGAAACCGAAGTGCTGGTTGGTGTAAACAGAAGAGTGTCCTCCGACGGAGAAGCCTGCTGTCTAACATGCCTATTTGAGTTCCAAAATAACTGTGCACTTTTGAACATGAATGAACAAGACCGACATATCATGCTCAACGCACAGGAACTGAAGGGCGCATGCACGGAAAACGACTATTATTTATAGCAACCTGAAGGCGCTCCAGTCGACCAAGTTTCACATTTAGTCAATTCACATGGAAAATTCCCTATATTTATGATAATTGATTCAACAGACGCTTCAGATCTCAGAGTAGTTAATTTTTTTGAATGCTTATATGGTTTATACAGTAGGTGGGCTAACGCATGAAATGTCAACCGAAATGCGTTTTCGTTTCGAAAAGATTAATTAAGTAGGATTGTAAAACTAGTCAACCTGCAACATAATTCTATAATATTTTACTTATCTCAGGATGCCGGCTTCCGAATGAACTTCTTTCCTACTGCATGCGAAAACCATACTCTGTAAACAATGACTAATTATGAAGCATGAATTTTCCTCATTGATTTTCGATGTCCCCAGATGTCCAATTACATTTCATTGAAAAATGCATAAGAATATTCATCGTTCTGCTCATTCGGTAGAAAATTATGGCTTCTTTTTATTTCATACTCGAAGGAGGGACATTATTCTGTTTCAAAAGATTCTAATTGTGGGGCTATTAAATACCTTAAAATGGCTGTTCATAAATCGTCATGTCTCTGCACTTATCAATGTGGCTTGTAAAGTTAACAATATGGATCAAATCGACCGCTAAATTTTATGAACCCTATATGGTCCGCCTTTATTATCGCAGAGCGATCTGTGGTTTGCCGTACGCGATAAATATCTGGCATGTAGTTTGTAAACCCTGAATCCAAATGTAACTGAAGAGCGGGGTTCAAAATTATTCGGGAATTGGGAAAGTTTTGAAAACCGAATTATACCCTTCTTTTGAATATATGATCGGAAGAAGACGTAATTTTCTACCGAATGTGCGAAGGAATGAATAGTTTTATGCGTGTTTCCCATGAAATATAATTCGACATTTAAGCGCATCAAAAATCAATTAGAAAAATTCATGCCTCATAATTAGTCACTTTTTTCACAGAGTATGGTTTTTGCATACAGTAGGAAGGAAGCTCATTCGGAAGCCGGCACCCTGAGACAACTGAAATAGTATAGAATTATTTTGCAGGCTGACTAGTTTAACAAACCTATTTAAGTAATCTTTTCGAAACGAAAACGCATTTCGGAATTTCGGTTGACATTTCCTGAGTTAGCCCACCTACTGTATCTTCTACAGAAATCGTTTCTGTGATGCATCTAGTCGCGGTGATCCGTAGCCCAAAACCACCACCTTGAAGTTTGTACGTCGACGCTCATTAGTAGGGCTGCTCTAACGGATGACCAATGGGAAGGCCGTACCGAAGTGCTTGCTCACAGCAATCAGGCGCCAGTAAACGGAGGAACGTAAGCGATACTGCTTTTGTATGGAGAACGCATGGCCAGGCGAATTTTGACCAACCGGAGGATCATATAAGCACTTCAGTGCAGCATTAGATAAACAGTCCAAAACCCAAGTGCCAGATGTGTCAGATGGTTTGATCATAAAAGCCATAATACGGAAACAGGAAACGGTGGAAAGTATTGGAAGTCGACTCAACTTCACTCAGGAGTGAACTGTTCTTCCGTAATTTGATACAGAGATGCTACCACACCCCAAATATTGAGATACAGTGCAGAGAAGAATGCGATATGGCACTAGCCTAACTGAAATTTTGTTAGGTTTTACATAAATCACAATGACGACCGCCGCGCCAGTGGCGAATTGTTGCAATTGCGGGCTAACTGACTTACCGATTGTTAATAAATTTTGGTGGTTATGCCGGAAATGCGGGAACTGCCCGTCCCATTGTGTCTTGGGTCTCTAATAAGAGCTCTTGCAGGCAGTTGCAGAGTGAATAGGGAAGGAAATTATCGTACAAAGACAAGGGAGACCGGGATGGCCGTTTCCGGCTGAAAATGAATATTTGGGCCGACGTCCATCAATTTGCGCTTACTAACCTTAGTTCATAACTGATCTACTCCAAGTCAGCGGTTAATTTCCGAGGGAATCAAAAGGCGACAATTTCTAAACCGGAATATCCACCAGAAAGCACGGGGGGAATGCTGGGGGACCCACTGAAGAGCCAAACCGCTCGCAGCTGTGCCATGCAGCGGCAGAATATCAGCAAAACAAAGCGTGTCTGGGCTTTTAGCTAGTACCTGTGTTGTTAGTATGGTTTCATCTTACCCTAAAGTATACTACTAGCTGTCTGTCGACAGCTGATGAATATTACGCGGTTACCCGCTATGGTTGATGAATTTTGGCTCAAATATTCATATATAAAATTCTCGGTCTGAGCCTACAGACCTTGAATAAACTGATCTACTCCACTTTCGTAGATAATTTTCTGAGGAAATTAAGAAGCGACAATTTCTTAATCGGAGTATCTACCAATGCTGCCAG